CCGACACACGATTGTAGTGTCAATGAAGACGAAGATTATTTCTGTGTATATGATGTATCGTTTACGAGTTCGCTGTTTTCTAAGCACAATTGACAGTTGTTTTTCACTGACAACTGCTTTTTAAGAACTATTTGGTTTTTGTATTGTCATATGTGGGGTATTTTGATTTTGCAATTTTACGGTTCTGGGTTGAATACATCTAAGTTATGGTTTTTGAAATTTTAGTTTCAGTGCATTACTCAACGAAAGCAGAAGTCAATCAATGTTTCTGAAGATTCTTCTGTCTTTTCCACACTTTGGTGTTCATATAAATTCTTATCGCTTAAAACGAAGTCAAAAATGATTCTGCTTCAAATTTGGAAGTGGTGGTTTGAGTTATCAACACCAGGATTCATTGTTCTATTATTTCTTACTTTTTACTTGTTTTTAAGCGATCTTAATACTTCAACATGTTATACTTTGACTAAATCAGGAAAAATGTTAGAGAGAGAGAGAGAAAAGTTGGAAAAATAAAATTCAAGGAGATTAGCGAGTAGTAATATGCAGCTCGGAAAATGTCCCTGCTCTAATAAAGTTTACAAAATTGAGTTCTCCGATATGACATCGATCGTGACCGATAATTCTACTTCAGGTTTCTTTAAATTAATTTCTTTTGTTAAGTAAATAAATTATAACTCCTATTCTAACTGACCAAGCTCCTAGCCCCTAGTATATTTCGATTCTCGAACTTTTGTGGCTGATGTTGGCAAACGCTGACTTAATATATTAAACTCAAAGGTAGAGTTTGAAAACAAACAATTTTGTGTTAAAAAGTGCTTGCCGTCGCTTCTTATGAGATTTGTTCAATTCCAGTTTCCATCAATCAATTATGATACCGGCTACTGCTTGGCAGACAATTGAAAGATCCACGTACAGTATTGCCATAAGAAACATTCATAAAAATCAATCAGCTCTTCAAGCCTCCAAGCTCTTTATTTATATTTATTTTTTAATAAAAAACAGTTTTCAGATAATTTTTACAATGTCCAAATGTTAATTGGATGAAAAGTTAGGAAAAAGTTGTTTAGTTGGTAAAGTTGCCTAATACTGACAGACCACAATAATTATTTGTTCCTTCTTGATTTTTCTGTAATATTTTCCCACTTTCAAACCCTATTTATTAATTGCGACCGCTGAGTTTACATAGCAGCGCTGCTAAACGACTTTACCTGCCAGCGTGCGTGCGTGCACCTGTGCTCGGCTGGCGCCCTCTAAATGACTCGGTAGTCGTCAGCTGAGTTGTGCGCAGCTTTAGTTGGTAATTTGTATAGTTGTTAGGGCGTTGCATAAACGCTACGACGCACTCGGTTGCCTGGTTGCTCAATTGCCACACGCTTAAGTAATAATTTGTTAAATAATTTGTATCACGTATACGCCATGGCGAGCACACACGTTTGTATGCTTACGCATGCTGTTTTGAAATTCGATTGAGCTGAGAGTTGTACTAACATTCACAACGACTGGAAGAGATATATATGGACCGGCAATAAGACGGTGTGTATACAGAAATACAGTCCGCCAGTGCGCCAAAACCTTTGTTGACGTGCCATTTGAATTGCGTGGAAAATTTACAGCTGCTCGCCCTGCATGTTAATCTTCAATATTTTTGGTTGCTATTTTGGTTGTTATGATTAAGGCTACGAATACTATTCCATGAGCCAAGTGTTGATGACGTGGGCAAAGTTTTGCAAAATTGCAATTGCGTAATAAAAATGGTTGAAATTTCTGTTTCCAAGCTGTGCGGTTGGAAATGGAGTCATGTGTAGAAGTTCACGCAAGTGAGGAAAGTTCTCTGATCGGCATTCACTTGGGAGTGGCCAGAAGCGATTCTTTTACATATGACTCAAGCAGCTCACGACTTCCGGTCCTTGACCAAGTATCCTCTGGGTAGCCTAAGAACATCCGTTTGAAGGCGAGCTAAAGTGAGAAGGCGAAACATTCTCTGCATAGGGTTGT